CTCTCTCTATGAGCTCCTTGACTTTAACAGTACTCTAAACTTTACCCCGTAAATTATGTCCCTATTTGTATGTTTTCTAATACTCAATGACTCGATATAATCCTTGGCACTTGTGTGTAGACCCAGTCAATGAATGGCAAAGTTTGAGGTTATAACTTTTTGTGTTTGTTAACTATCCAAATATTGCATATATCAAAATATACCAGAGTAGCCATAGTAAAAACTCAATCTAACATTCCCTGAGGAGAGTAGTAGTCACAAGAAAGTTTCTGGATGACTCAAAGTCAGGTACGTTTGAGTGTAGAGCCAATGACTCAAAATGAAGCACTCCTATGTGACAACATACTGCAATGGAATTATACAATATCTTGCAACAATGTCAATGTGATAAGAATACATAACTAACTATCTATTTGAATATGTGATAGTAATCTTTTGCAACAATACTATCTGCCAGGGCATTCCACATCTCAGCAAAGTTCCTACCAAACAACATTTTCCAGGTACTAGAAAATACCTTTTGTCTAAATCATTGCGACAGATAACTGTTTGAAAACGATTGATGGTGCAGAATTTACAAAAACTTTTCAATCTGACTACATTTCTGTCTCCTTTACTATTTGTCAAATAACCACTCCTCTAAAGGGTTCAACGTATTACAAACTTACAATTCCAAACAAAAGATTCTACTAAAATATTTCTTATTCTGTTAATATGAAAACCAAGCAGCTTTCGATCGATTCAACCAAGTTCCATCACCATTACATCTTTGAAGTTTGCACAACAATCTACAACCTTTTGTCCGCCAACTTGTGGCTCTATCAAACCTAATCTAGTTGAAGACTCATTCTACCTTTCAGAAAGGTAAAGTTTATGCTTGGTTATGGAAACCTGGGTGCTCACCCAATCACATCGGGTCTCTGGCTGAAGAAGGTTTGTTTTAGAACCTTCACAGTTTCCAAAGTTGAGAAGTAAAATACCATAGTTTAAGCCTTGCATTTTATTTTGAATAAAAAGTTTTTTGTTGTATAACTTTCCATTGCTCAAATTGAGTCATTATCAACGTGTCTCAAGCTTCCATAGCGATTTATTTTGGTAAAAAACTGATCCAACAGCCTTTTGAAGTCATCCATTGTGAGACTATGCTGAAAAATCGAAACATTTCAGAAACGTTTCAATTTCAACAAATATTCCATTCATACGTAGAAGAGAAGAAAGAATGTGAGATTCTAAAACAATTGGAGCAAAGACAAAGCGCTTTCTGGTGTCATATAGAGTTTTCTGTTTCTCCAATACGGACTTTTTCATGACTTGAGAGCCTTTCCCAACAAAGTTTTCTACAATTGCTTCAAAATAGCCAATCTATTGTCATAGACACCAAAAATGACTCAACTTATTGAACACAATTGTCGTATATTTAGTATTGATAATATTCAGAATGTATTATGCAATTACATAGCCATGTAAAATGGCTAGATAAGAATGAACTACTGTGAACCAGCCCTGTCAGCCAGCTAATAAACTCTTTTCGGAAAAGAATGTATGGTCTCCAAAGAGGCAAAAAAGTAAGATGTAACCAAGTTTCAAACATACAAAAAATAGTTTATTTGCTCTTCAAAACAAAGAAAAGGATTGAGTTAGAATCTATTGCCAACTTAAGAAACTGTTACGGATTCTATCAAGTAAATCTAATCCAAAATCCCAAAAAGTAGGATTATGAGAAACACCAAATGCTCTTTCAAGTCCATTCAAAATTTCGTCGTCAATCAGCATTTGGACATCTCTTTCACAAAGAATAACAAGTTCACAATTATCAGGTACTTTGAAAGAATCATTTCCAATAAACATTCCACTGGAGTAACAACGACTCTGATTACCCAACTCATTAGAAACATTCAATGATAACTTTGTACTAACGATAATAAGCATACAATGATGAGAATCCATTGCACTGGATAAGACTTGATCATAAACAGGATCTAAAAATTTCTTGGCTTCATCTATAATATCTGACCAGCCAATTCCTTCCGACTTCCAACGTCCTTTACAAGCAACTCCAACAGTAAGAACTTTGGGTTCCACAGGAGATTGTAATTTGAATATAATATCAGGACTATGAGAAGTAGCGTCCAAAGGAATGTAAACAGTCTCTAAATAAAGTGTCTCCCGAATAATCTTATTCCATTCAGTACTGGCAAAAGTTCTTCGACTCTTGTTCGATTCACTTCTTGTTTCTCTAGAACTAACAACAGACTTGATATAGTGAATAGGTGATATTGCACTCATTGGAAGTTTCATTTGTTTCCATATAGGAGACAACTGACACAACAATTCCCTCAACTCATTTCGATTCTTTGAAGACAACATCAAAACTAGTCGTAAAGCAACAATTCCTTCAAATACACGACACTTTGAATAGAAGAAACAATCTACTGGTTCGACATCGAGTGATCCAAGAAGTATCTTTTCCAAAGAAGATATGGAAGGGTCGTTCTTGAAGATTACAACAAATACTTTCGGAATTAGGACTTGAAAAGTATTTTCGTCAATAGGATATCGATATAATCCCATTTCAGTGACTGCATCATATAAAAAGGACTCCGAGGTCAATCTATCATCTACTTTAGACGGTATACGATAAAGAGCCATCATCAAAAGTAAATCAAAAACACTTCTTCTATCTTCGTCCAAAATCAATATTCGTTCCACAAATGGTTCAGCACAAATTCTTCGGAAATCGTAGTCATTCATACAAGTCAAACATTCTTCTTTCGATATGAAAGGCTGATTTCTTGCTATTATATAATTCAAAAGCATATTTACTGCACGAGTCAACAAACCAGGAACTCCACCTGTACATTCCAATAATGAGTCTGCCAATTCATTTACTGAAAATGAAGAACTACATAAGACATTACAAACCGGAACTTGAGTAGGTGTCTTTAGAAGACTCTTTTCAAGGAATTCAACGATACTGGAAGCGTCCAAAGGTGATAAAGAAATAAAATGTAGTATAACTCTTGATACCAAAAGACACATAATTCTTAATACTTAAACCCTTGCTTTTCCCAACAACAATAAAAAACAAGTCGGGTTCTTTGCACAATTGACTAATGATACCGAAAAAGTCATTGTAAGGTCGAACCACACCTTTGTCATTCTTCTCCAGTTCAAAAAAAGTTCCCTTTGTATCAAACACACCAACTTCGTCAATTGCCAACAAAAGAAATTGATCGGAAGGAATGCCCAAAATCGAACGAAGCTCTCTAACTAAAATACAGGGACATGTACGACATTCTTTAAAGACTACATCAGCATCCACAGACTCTTGTCCAACAGAAGTACAACACGATCCGAACAATAAATAGTAGACTGCCCACTCTAGGTTGCGCTCTATCGGGACTGTGGGCTCCAACCCCCTTAAATCCACATAAAACAATGAAGCCCTCTTCAAATTCTCCAAAAAGGCTCTCCTCAAAGGGTCCGAAGCAAACGTCGACAGAAAAGTTTCACCAAACCTTTGCACCAACTCCAAATAGGTTCGGGCAAAGGTCGTTTTGCCCGAGCCAAAGAGATGGGGGGCAAATGGTATGGTCAAGCGATAGTTGCAACTACTTGTTACACCCCTGAGTTGTTCTCTGTTGCTATGAAGATCATACAGTTCTTCTGTCACTCGAAAAACATCTCTTTCACGATCTACCACAACAGACTTAAACTTGTCCACAGCTTCCCACTTTTCATCCAAACTCGCCATCGCCAAAGAGAAATTAAACAATCTTTTGTTTATTTCGGAGTACAAATATAAATAAACGATTGACTGTTTGTCGGTCACAACAACAACAAGGAAAACAGTAAAGGATACCAATCCAACTTCTTCTCTTTATCAACTGATGACTATGTCATACCTTTTATGGCTTGGACTGAGATGACTTGAACTATGGAAGAACGATCAATATGGCTTTTTCCGCTATCGATATTCTTATTCTCGTATGCTAATATAATGGCAACTCTCATAGGGTACAAGAAGGATTAGAAGGAAGCCAATGTTTATTTCACAAGTTTTTTATGCTCTTTGAGAGTATAAAGCTATTGAACATGGCCCATTCTCACATAGATAAGAAAGTTTCTTTCAGAATTTTCGAGAGTAGTCATGAGAGTTCCAAGCAATATAGATTGTTCATGAAGAATTTGTTCCATAGACGTCTCTCTCTAGATTTTCTGTATTTTATAGAACAGTTTTTACGTCACTTTTGCTTCATTTCGAAACACGGAACTAGAGTATGAACCAAGTCATTCTCTTGTACAGTCTATTCAAAAGCTCCAATTGAAATATTATTATTTAGTAGAAATGCAGAAACCCGCAAGCACAGCACTGCTTTATTTTCAGCAATCATCAAATTCCTTTCTTACGATATCATGACAAGTAGCAGCTTATCACTAAAGCTACAAAAGTTGATGATAGCAAAAGACAAAAGCAAAACAAATGTGCAAAGAAGGATCCAAAATATCGCGTGGTTTTATCAAATCTCAGAAACAACAATGACTCACACAAGTGTATCATCAATACTCAATTTCTGTAAGAGTCAATAACTCCTTTTTCTTTCTCCTCTGAAAATAGTAGCAGACAATAATAGCATTTGATACTGTGGATTCTGTTAAGAGGAGAAAATATATTTTCAAGAAAAATTCAATTCAGTCGAATTGAGTCTATTCTATCGACTCTCTTCTCGTATCTTGTCATTGCATAACATTTGAATCATAGTTGAATTCGTTCTCCTCAATAGTCGACTATACATTTGAGGTGCTTTTGAAGGTAAACATGACTGTTTAGGTTTAAAGGCTTTTGCTGCATCCTCTTGTACGATAAACTTTGTAAAAACCACAACTTTTAAAGATATACAAGAAAGCAAACTATAAAAAGTACAAAGCTGCTTTAGGAACGATATAACTCCGAGAGAGCTATTATCTCTTCCAATATAAAAAAAGGTAAAACTTTTAAAAGCTCTGCAAATCAAACG